ACTAAAATCTGACAAATTTCAACACAGATCTTATTACTGCTAATATAGCTTAATAGTTATTTTTTATTGAAAAGACAATTATATAATTATAGAAAAATTAGTAGTGCTAATAAAGCATATTTCAAAATCAGTAAAAAAAAAAGAAAAAAGACAAATATTTGAAAAATATATTTTCATGTAAATATTCGCATTTCTAGATGCATCTAATGAGGTGCAAGTGATCGGTTTGCCTAGTCAGATTTCAAACGGAGTCCAAAAGGTCCAAATTCACGTGAAACTTAATTAACCAATTAAATAAAATCAATTCAATTTTTTAGTTGCTATTGATCATGTTTTCTATGAAAAAATTATTTAATTATTGTTTGTAACAACTCACACAAAATATAATTGGAACCCTGATAAGTATACATTATTCGGCAAAAATTTTTGAATATGGTATTATCCGATAATTTATAATCATAAATGGTAGGGAGTCGTTGGCTGAGTTTTAATTCGAGTAAATGTAAATATTTCGTAACACATGAAAAAAATAACAGACAGAAATAAATTCATGATCATAAGAGTTTGTCGGATAATAGATTTCCTTAGACAACACTCAGTAAACAAAACTGGACGTTTAAAGTTTTTCCTTGGCGGTACTCATATGTGAGTGCCGCCAAGGAAAGAGGACACCTTAGCAATTTTAATATATCACTGATTAATTATGCAGATCGGGTTTTAAATTATACAACATAACACTAAATTTTTTCATAAACATTTTATATTAATGTTATTGAAAGCCCGATCTGCATCATTGAATAACATACTTAAAATTGCCGAGGTGCCCTTTTCTCTTGCAGCACTCATATAGTATCTAGAATTTAGTATCTAGAATCAAAGTACATGTAACAATGCGGATGAAACATTTTCCATGGATTTCGATTGCGGAACAGCACAAACATGATGCAAAATACAAAAATAGTAAAAAACAAAAAGCACACTAACGAATAAAAACAGGTAAAGAGAGCACGCCAAAATTGTACAAATCAGGTAACAGGCAAAAGGGAGTGTGCCAAAGGCGTGCGCTTATTTGTGTAATCCAAAAAGGAAATTAGCCAATCGGAGAAAATAAAATGTGATTATTCCGGATCAGCACGACACGTGAGTGAAGCGAAGAAAGACACAAAACAACGAAAAAAGCGAAAATACAAGAAACTGTGTGTTTAAATTTGTCTTGGGTCACTAATTAAAAGTGACGGAAATGAAATTTTGCATATAGAAAGTAAACATTTATTTCTATAGCATCTTTCTAACCCTAAATTTTTACTTTGTTTATTTTATGTTGAATTTCCTTTTTGGGTTTGTATCACTCGCACAAATAAGTATTTCCCGTATGGTACGTACATTTATTAGCGTTAAGTAATTCATAATAAATCTATTTTTAAAATTACAGGTTTTTGCAGCAATGGAGTAATAAAATTATAAATACACGTTTGTTCAAGTTCGGTCGTAAAGGTAAATAACTAGTGAAAGATGTCTCAGGTACACGAATTTCCGCCCACATTAAATCCAATAGTCTATATAGTAGTTATCCATGTTCCTTTATTTGCATTTATTCTTTTATCTCTCAGACCCATAACTAGCAAACCCCTCATCTTTATACTTTGTATTGTACCCTTTGTTCAAGCGCTAATTCCTTTCTTATATCATGGAAGATACGACCAATTAAACGTAGCATTTGTATCATATTACTTTTTTAAAATGCTGTTATGGTTGAAAAAAAATTACCAATCTTCCATCAATCCGAAAATTAAAGTTCCTTCATTCATCGGTTCATTCTTCAATTGGCGTCCTAAATCAGTAATTATTCCTGATGAATCAAAATATCAAAAATATATTGATTCTATCAAAGTCTCAGATCTTAATCGAGAGATGATTAATAACATAATCATGTCTATGATGAAATTTTTACTTTCAGATCTTATGTCTGAATATTTAAAAAATAACAAACCAGAAATTCCAGAAAGATCATATAGGTTACGGGTTTTAGATTATCTTAGGACTGGGCGTCCATTTATTGAACCATATACCTTATTTTTTTACATTCTTTATATAATTTATGGGATAATATCCTTTTCACTAGTGTGGAATATTTATCTTATCATATATGGCATAATTTTAAAATTTTTGTTATCTAACAACGCTGATAAAGATAAAGATAAACACAGAAAACAACGAGAAGATTCAAAATCTCTTAAAACAACAATCAAAGAATGGTTAATCCTTTCAATATTCTATACAAAACCTTTAATTGGTAATCCATATTTTTCAACGAGTCCTCGAGATCTCTGGTCCAATCAATGGCATCAAATATATAATCAAATTTTTCAAGAATTGGGATATCTTCCTGTCAGAAACTGTTTTAAACACAACAAAACTCTTGGGCGCGCACTTGGAATATGTGCTGCTTTTTTGTTAAGTGGAGTGTTGCATGATTATATACAAATAGTGTCTTTTAATTATTTTTCGATAGATTATACAATTTTTTTCTTATTTCATGGAATACTTTTGGTTTTGTGGGAAGCTGTTGAAAGTGATATTTTAGAAAGAGGAAAAGATTTTAAAGATAGTTTTGGAACCAAAATTTTTAAAATGTCTTTATTTTTACCAATTGTAGTCTTTACTTTACCATCATTTGTGGAACCTTTTATTAGGAGAATATATCTTAAGTCACATTTGAATATATATACGAATTTAACAAAATGGTCTGAGACAATATATAATCTTGATTAATATTATTTGACATTTTTATAAAAAAATCTTCGTATGGATTTAATAGATAAATAGATATTATATACATATCATCCAGATTTTATATTCATTATAATAAAAAAAAAAAGCATTTACATATTTACGTATTTAATGATAGTTATTCATTTGTTCTAAAAAATTTTTTCATTGAATTATAGCGAAACTTTGGCCATTCAGGTTGGTTATTGTTTAGCGTTAATTTTCTAAGTTCAAGCACAATGAGGGTATTTATTAGCAACTTTTAACCGAATGGTATGATTACGGAAAACGACAACAGAGTATGATTTACAGTAAATGGAATTTTCTTTTGACAGTTAAATGTATGATTTTTTAATCAGTATTGCATGTAAAAATTGTAATTACTTTTTGCCAAATTTTTAAAAGTAATTTAAACTTTTTTTACAAATACAAATGAGTTTTTGCCTTTGATTAACTCATAGCGGCTTTCACAAAATATGATTCACTAGCTTTCACAAAATTTTTGATTCCCGACGTAAATTGTTAATACAACCACGGGCAAAACAAATAAAACGAGGTAATATATAAATTGACATATATAATAAATCCAAAAGCCATGACAATAAATAGTGAGGTATTCAAAAATGATGACCAGATGACATATTGATATTACCGTAAATAATATTATAGATCAGTGTTTTTGGATCACGCAATATTTTTTCAATGCATCGTTAAATAGTACTTTAATATGTATTAAACCTCAGTAACGACTCTATTTCTATTCTCGCTAATCTGAGATTGAATAAAATAGAGGGTGTGTATTTCGGTATATATTTTAAAAATTTAAAGACTTGCAATCTAATTAGTCACGTTGAACTTGGACTGGAATATGCGGTGTGTATATGTTCTGCTTCATTTCACAATTTAGATCGATTCCAAATTGAACTAAGTTATTTTTAAATTTTGAAACAAAGTACTTTATTTCTCAATCGGTAACATAAATACAACTGGGTTTTAAAATTATATAACCAATAATAAAAGTATTAATTATCGTAAACATTCTTTCGTATAAGTAAATAAGCTATAAAAATTATGTAAAATTTTACATATAAAATTAAAATTATCGTAAACATTCTTTCGTATAAGTTAATAAGCTATAAAAATTATGTAAAATTTTACATATAAAATTAAAAGATGCAACATTTGCATAAATTATTGCTATAATGAAAAACGAAATGCTTAATAAAAATTAAATACATAAATAAAATTGCATATCAATAAAAAAAATAAGCACAATAAAAAGCATATAAAAAATTGCATAACTAAAAATACATAAATCTAAAAAAAATCTTATCGATTTTTGCATAAATTATTGCTATAATGAAAAATGAAATGCTTAATAAAAACTTAAATACGTAAATAAAATTGCATATCAATACAAAAATAAGCATAATAAAAAGCATATAAAAAATCGTATAACTAAAAATTTCATAAATCTAAAAAAATCTTATCGATTTTTGCATTCATCATGTAGAACACACCCACATCGTCGAGTGCATAACATGTTGTTTTTTCGGCAGGAACAAGAATTAGAAGAGCAGTTGGTTTTTTGACAGCGACAGCAATTTGAATAATAGTTTTGCGGTGCCTTTTTTGGTTGCATATTTCTAGATAATATAAATTAATTTATTAGCTCTTTGTTATTGTTAATATTGTACATATAATAAATTATTACTTACCTAATAAAGAAATCATCATCATTATTATTATTTTGACTTGAGGATTGATTTAATAGTTCATTATTTTGTTTAAAGCTTGCTTGTTTTAATGAAATCGTTTTGTTTAGAGGAACTTCTTTAAGAGAAGGATAATCAGAAGTTCCAAGTAGCTCAAGTTCACTTGCCGGATACTAATGTTCAAGTATTCCATACTGGCAAGCAACTTGATATGAATCAATATTAGGTTTCTTTTGAAGTACTTTGCAGGGTAAGGATCTTTGACTCATTTTATTTTTATCAATATTAGGTATACGAATTTTTATAAAATCACCAGGCTCAAATGTTCGATTACGTTTAACCTTATATTTTTCTTCCATCCTATTTCGTATAAGCTCACGGTTTCTTTTTATATTTAAAACTGCTGACTGTTGAACTGTTTCATGTTTTTCGAAAGAAGCACGAGTCAAATTTGGCTACAAAAAAAATTGATTATTTTATTATTTATTTATTCATTTTATTTTTTAACCAAATAATTTAACTAACCTTAATTTCTTCAGATTGAGCCTGCCACTTTTCTTTTTCTTGTGAAGTATAACATTGTGTTTTACTTGAATCATTATCTGAATCAATAATTTCTATAATTTCTGAAGTTATTGTATTCTTAGAGTTCTTAGAACATCCAATTTCCAAATCATTATCTGAATCGATGATTTCATTAATTCCTAAAGCTAGTGTATTTTTAGAACTCTCCTTAATTTCAGAATAATATAATGATAATAAATCATTATAAAATTCTTGTATGCTATCATCATCAATATTTTGTATACTATTATTATCGCTATGCATTTCACCTAAATTATCAGATTTTTGTGAGTTATCTATACTTAAATTACTATAATTTTCTTGAATTTGTTCTATATCATCATAGAATTCTGATTCAAATGTTTCACTACTAATTTCTGTAACTATTGTTGATTGAGAATCTTCAAATATTAAAGTATTATTATTCAATAACTCTTCGCTTTCAATTATATCAACTAAATTAGTATTACAATGAGGAAGCTGTCCAAATACTAATTTATAAAGGATTGATTTATGTGCGGAACAATACTGAGTATTCATAGCCCCTAAATAATTATAATTTAAAATTTTAATTAATTGTAAATAATAAAATAATAATAAATATGTTAAAAAATAAAAATTAAATAAATTAAAATAACAATAAGTAAATAAATAAAAATTAAAATTAAACGATAATATATATAATATAAAAACCTTAATAAAAAAATATTTTTAGTAAAAAATAATAAAATAAAAAAAATTAAATTAAAATAACAAGTAAATAAATAAAATAAACTTAAATCGATTGATATTTAATATAAAAATATTAATTAAAAAGGTATTTTTAATAAATAAAAAATAAAAAATAAAAAATAAAAAAAAAAAATTAAAAAAGAAAAAACATAAAAAAAAAATAATAAAAATCGAAAAAATAAACAAAAAACATACAGATAACAAATTTCAATCCTATACTCCAGTCAGTTCGGCCTGTTTCTTCCATCCAGGCTCCTAATTTGGATTGAAGAATATCATTTCCTTTTTCTACTAATCTTTGACAACGTGGGTTTCTTGGCCTACCATTGACAAATTTAATAGTTGGCCAAAAACTTAATATCTCTTTAATAAGCCTTCCAACAAATTCGCCACCATTATCAGAATGTAATACAATAGGTGAACCATACATCATACAGAAATTAAGTAAACATGCTGCAGCTTCTTCTGCTGTCTTAGATAGAGAGGTTCTGCATATAACAATCTTGAAAAATGATCTCTGATATGAAAAATATATTTATACATTCTATCGGGAACTGATGTCATATCAATAGTATCTATCTACAAATAAATTTTTTATTAATTAAAATACAAAAAAAATTATACATATACAATCATTACCTGAATATGATGTAAAAATCCCTCAGCAATTATTGGTCAGATGGGTGAAATTTTTACAAAGGCACGTCTTGTAATGCAAACTTTGCATTTATGGACAGCATCATCAACTATCTTTTGTGGAATAAAACAATATCGCATATGAATCTTTTTTATTTTTTTAAAAAAAAGATATAATAAATAATTTAAAAAAAACTGAACAAAGCAAAACTAAAAAAAAAAAAAAAAAAAAAAAAAAAAAAAATACCTTTCACCAGGTTTTGTCTTGACCAGCATGTTCCGTTGCTTGGTATGCAGCACAGATTATTTCATAGAAATTTTCAATAGGACAAACTTGCGTCCCCAAGTTGTTTTCAGTTTGCTTAGTTACATGAAGTTCTTCGGTCATGCCGACATAAAGAATTTTAAAATTATGTGTCACCCAATATTTAAAATTAAGGTTATATGAATCGTTTGGATTTTTAAGTACATTTAAGCATTTATTATATTTGGTTCGATCTATTAAACTACGTTTGTTTTTCCTTTGACGAATAAAGGTTTCTAATATCTGATCAAAGGATTCACGAGCCAGAAAGTTGTATTGTTCTATGTTTAGAAATTAATAATGAAAAAGATTTATTTAAAATTAATTGTTCAAAGGCTTTATTTATTTTGTTTTTCTTTTTATATCAATTAATATAAGATACGTAATACATTAGAGTTAAATTTGTTGCATAATAAAATTTAATAATCCTGAGTTTTAAATTTGTATTAAATTTTTGTCATATAATGATTGCATTAAGAATTGAAGTAATTTATTCCAAAATCGGTAAAAATTAAAGAATGACGTAAGCCAATTCAAAATTGATCTAAATTGTGAAATGAAGCAGAACATACATACGTACATATGTAGTACTATGTAATATTTGTAATACTGTAATACTGTAATACAATAGTTTCTGATATTAATTCGACATATGTGATGTGCGTCATAATATCTCCCAAATGTAAAAAACATAGCATTTTTTGAGTAGTTTTGAATAGTTTTATTTTAAAAAATTTTTTTTTTAAAGTCGAATTTTTTTTTTATTAAATATATTTTTTCTGGAAACTTTTATATAAGCAACTCTTAAGTGCGTCACAATACCCACCTTCACCTTATGTAATCATATATTTAATATACATAGTACATTGGATACCCCAACGTATAGTACTAAGTAAAACTGCCCAGATGATAATTTTGTGGTACGTATTATTGCTTAATGCCGGCCTAGCACCGGCCTATTCCGACCCTAAATTTTGGTCGATCTGCTGAATTTTGGTTTTTCACGAAATTGACAGGGCTTAGGATCGATTTCCGATCACGTGATAACGTCGGAAAACTTGGAATTTTTGTTTACGTTAAGGTTTTGGTTTGATGGAAGTTTGTTTTAGAGTTACAAAGACTGTTCTAATAGTAAAATCACGCAAGGAAAATTTTTACTAATTTTGAGATATTCTCGATTTCTTCAAAAAAGAGCGTTTGTTTTGATTTTTTTACGTTACACCTGATCGTGACTTCTCATTGGCTAATTTAGCTCGGAAACCCACGTGATCGGAAAATCGATCCTACGCCCTGGCGTTGTTGTTGTTCACTAACACTAATCCGAGATGAAAACTTATAAGTTACCGGTTTATAAAATAACTTGTTTTATTGTTATCGTTATAGCACTGTATTATAAAGAAAATTTCTTAAAAAGCATCCATTATAGCACTGAATTCTATATACGCATGTACGTACCCACATAAAAATGTAGACGTTAGAAATTAAGCATAAATGTGGAAATAATAGCGAACGCGCACTACAAAATTAACATATAACTTCGATAAATCTATTAAAGGAATAAAATAAATTATAAACTTATTTATATTTCCGAACGTTCCTCTTTAGTTCGGCTTGAAACCTAATTCGACGGGTAGAATTGGCTTTCGTATTATCGAGGCTCGGATTTTCGTGTAGAGAAAGCTATTGAGGCTGAATTGGTTTTCATTTCGATTGCTTTCATTCCTTTCCTTTTGCCCTCCCAATACAATAGAGATAAATATAAAGAAGATTTTTATCTATAACTTGATTATGACTTGAGTTTGTACGAATGTTAGAATTGCGCAGAAAATCAACTAATAACTTTAGCATTATTTTCAATCAATATGGTATAAAACTAGTTTTTTTTTGAGAATAATTCTATTCATATACAAAAATCAGGTTTTAATATTATTATTGTCGGTTACTTTTCATAATACGTTTCATAAGACTCCTTAATAAGTTTGCCAAAAAAAACCATATTACTAGTTTCATTTTAAATGTTTTTGACAATAATTAACTGCTGTTATTTTTACACTGGGCACCTTTCTATTTATTTATTTTTTTCAGATATTTAATAAAATTACATGCCAATTTCTTCACATACCAATCAATCAAAAAAAAAAACTCATCTATAATAGAAAATTATAGAAAATTTCAGTGGTTTATGTTTGACTGAAAACTTTTAATATATTGTGATCCTTTGAAAATTGTAAGTCCTATTATATACTATATACCTCTTATGCATTTAATATATCCAATCATAAGCAAATGAATAAATACATATATACTAGTTGATGTTACCCTTCTCACTTCCACTCCCCGATATGCTCATTAATCAGGATTCTAAAAGTATAGTAATAAGCTCGTGAATGTTCGTGCAATGTTTTTAATAGATCAAAGGTATACCACATTAATAATCGGCGCAATTAAGCAACCAAGTGTAGTGTCAAGCTTCGATGATGGAAAGTTCCAAAATTCTTGTATTGTAAAAAAACAAAAATATATTAACACATTAATGTAAGTGATTAGCAAAGAGTCTAGATGTCGAATTGTTGTCTACGAATTGAAAAGCCATATGTTTATGTACATGTACAGAAAAAAACCCACACTACAAGCCCTTTCCTCTTAATCTGTCGGATATTTGTCATAGAATATTCGAAAATGCAAATATAAAAAGCATCAGTTGTTTTTTTTTACATATTATTTTTAAATTCCTCTTTGATAACTTGAAAAACTTCACACTCGTCAAAAGCAAAATCTATAACATCTATAATTTTTCTTTCATAACATTTTTGCTTGCAAACACCATTCTTTGCATTGTTGGTTCCAGCAAGCTTAATAATAAGATCACTCTCACCAAACCCTGGCCCATATACCGTTTGACGAATTGCCTCATGTGCATGCTCTTTTAAAATACGACTAATTGTAGATTCCTCTTCCAAGTTATCCCCTTCACCAAAAGAAAATATAAAACTATCAACTGCTCCTGTAAATACAGAACAAGGATAAGTGCCTTCGGTACTGATTGGATAGTATCCACCAATGATGAATCGATGATGACTTAACGACGCCACAACTACTGTTGGACCCTTTCCTCTACATTTCGAATTATATGTTGAAGAATCAAAGCCATCACGGCTACCTCTATAAATCAATTTAAATTTATACGTTGAAGAGGTAGAAGGATACAGGATTGGTGATGAGGCTGTTTGTGCACTATGAGCGTTGTTCTCCTTATTGGGTACATTTTTATCCGAATGTGTATTTTGCTTATTACTATTATTCTTTCTCATGTCGCTATTGTGTGAACGTTTTCCTTTACGAAAAGATAAGATTCGTCGAATCTTCCAAATCTTGGCACCCTTTTCATCAGATTTCGTATTCTTTGAGTCTGTATTAGACTCTTGCTCTTCGATCGATGATGTTTCATCAAGGGTATAATTACTGGATGCATCAAAAGAGCGTATACTATCAGCTGTAGATGAACCAAAATTTCCTTCACGACCTGCATCAATCCACCTTGCAATCATTGCTATGTGAGTATGATTCACAACCTTCGAATCCTCCAAGATAGAGAGCGGATTCAGTCCATTTTCATCAAAAAGGTAAGAATAAAATGTTAAAGCCGTATTACTTGTAGTATCGATAGGCAGAATCGATTTGTATGGTAATACGTTGTCGTAGAAATCATTTCTAGAGATCAAGGAAAATCTTATGTAAGGTATGAAATGACCAATCCTTAATTTCAACGTTTCAAAATCTGCTTCAGACCATTGGTCAAGTCTACTAGCGTCCAACTTTGGAGTTTGTGCACATGCCCATTGAATCAATATCTTCCAAATGATACCGTCGTGAACAAAGTGATCTTCATCATTAAATAAACTATAGAAAATTGATTCATCCAATGATTCAAGCATTGACGCATCTTGTAGCCAAGTTGTCGTATTAATTATATCCACACAATGTGTACGAAACCTTTCTAATGTTTCGTTTTGATAAACTAACTTAAAGATTTGAATAAAATTTGGTCTCAGACGCTCCGACTTTTTTTCAAATAAATCCCGCACCTGTCTACCCAAATCGTCAAGCATAAATTCCTCAGCAGCTAACCAAATTCCAAGAAAATCGGCACCTTCCAACATTTGCCAATTCACTGTCGCATTAGTAATATATCTGGATGGATAAAATATTTAAAATTTCGTAAATATTAGATCAAGTTATGATAAAGATTCATGAAGTTAAGGATGAAGGTAAGTTAGTACCCTAGAATAATTTCAAAAACTTTTGGCGAAATGTTTGGTTTTTCAATGATATATACATCATTCTCCTTTCTTGCCCAATTGCTTGATAAAGCCGTTCGAAAATAGGAACATCTTGAACTCAACATTCTTGAGTTCGCTTTAAATATCCTTACATCTGGTGATTCACCAACACGAATTATAACATCATCATGATCATTAACGTCAACTCTAGGATTAATGGGTCCGATATTAATGCTTTGATTATTATTGTTCGTTAAATGTCCATTATTGCCAGAAGAATTTTCAGACATTAGCATCATATTCAAATTCAATAAAGTAATTTATAATTAGAGGTAGTTAAATAAAAAGAAGTTGACAGGATAGAAGAATAAAAAGATAGAATAATAGGAAATAATTATGGAACAGGGATTAAAATAAAAAAATGAGGTTCGATTTAAACCGTGTAACATACCGGAGTTGGATTGATCTGGTTCCGATATAATTAATTCTAGGGTAATTTACTTATTACGTAAAGTTAATTCACGCTATGCGACAATTTAGCATGTTATTAGTTGTAAGTATATATTATTAATAAATTGTCGCATAGTGTGATTCAACTTTACGTAATAAGTAAATTATTTTGCTCATCTCTAGGTGTATCAGGTAATGCAGTATTTGTCATCATTATTGGTAGTCCGCGTTAGTTATTGTACACAGGATTTTCCGAAAGCCATTTTCCCGAAAAGACATCATACCGACTAAAATCGGCCAGCATTGATCTAATGCCGGTTAACTTTGTCGGGGCTATGCCCTTTATGGAAATGGCTTTCGGGAACTTTACAATGGGCCGCATTATGTGTATGTACGTACATGCGTTTCATACGAGGGTTCAACCTTTTAATTATTTCTAAATTAAATTGAAATAGTAAATAATTAGCATATACGTGCACTAATTAAAATTATAACTACTGTCAACTATGGATATAACGGATACCCTTACACCGGATTCATGAGTTTAACGGATTAAATTCAAAGTACCGAATTTTTAATAGTAATTTAAAATGGATATAACGGATTTAATAACAAAAAATCTATATTACGTATAACGGAACTTCTTGCCAGCCCACTTTCTAATTTTATTAAGGT